TACAAAATATTGAAGTATTGTTATCTGTGTATAATGTAATTAAGATAAAGTATATCTAAAAGATAGAAAAAGATTAAAGTGTATCTATTAAAAATAAAACCRGTAAAAACCGCAGGTAGAYCGCATCCTACAGYGGCTRGTAGAACGCATTTGCCGGTAGACCGCATACTATATGACAGCCGTAATTCGTCTGGTAAGTATTCTGCCAAAGATTCGATTGCCCAATCAATATCATTAATTGGAATAAATGTCAATGCTAGAACCATTTTAACCAATATTGAAAAATCAGAATTATTTCGATAATTAGACACAATCCCTAAGTCMCACAATTTTTTATAAACATTTTTGGAAAAATGATGAAGACAACCATAAATTTCAGTTCTAGGAAATTCAGTTTTTATTGATTTTAGAATTGCTTGCTCAAAATCACAAGATATTGAAGTCGGGTTTAATCCAGGCTTTAATTGGTTTAACATTTTAAATAAATTAGTGTATTAAAATAATTTATGTTTTTTTCGCGTCAAAATGTACCCGCGCTCAAACGGCCGCGTTTAAATGACCTCGCGTCCAAAATGCTGCGTCCAAATGGCCGCGTTCAAACGGCCGCGTCCATTTGTCCTAGATCGATAATAGTAATAGCTTTGAATAGTATTACTACTTTAATAGTTAATCATCTGTATTGTTTATAATCTTAACTCTTAAGTTATTCTAAACAAGTGATTAAACATGTGAATACTTTGCTCCTAATTATAAAAACATTTTTATTTTTTGTTTTATTTGATACTTTAATATAGACAATATAGTATTTTGGAATTAATGTGATGATTTTTTGTATACTTTGTTTTATTTAAAACATTTTTCATAGACTCCCCTCGTCACCTTGTCGATTTTTTGTTGTGTTCACTGTGTTCAGATATTGTATCATATGATAGTGTATAGTGTATACTGTGCATGACATCGAATACACATATCATACATTCATAACTGTAATACATCGTTCTCCGAGACAATGTAGTTACTTTTGACATGCGACTGTAGCCGAAGACCATAGATTTGGGTGGTTGCAGTGTTGTACGACGAGTTTTGGACTGTGTGTCTRTGTGCAACCACTTTCTCCCGGTAAATGGAGTATCTTTACGATCAGTTGAAATGTAATTATTATGGATAATACTAAAACTTGTGCGGGATACCGGGAATTAG